GAGTGCCTTGACAAAGTCGCCCCTCGGCAAGACCTTCTACCTCTTAGACTTCCAACTGATCCCGAACTAGGGCGCGCCCTTGAACTTGCCCGACGGCCAGATTTTTGTTTCGCGGCGTGAAAAGCGCGACCCGAACAACTAACAGTCCTACGTAACCTAATGACATATCTGTACGGCGGCCATGCGGCACCTGGGGGCTCAATCGTAGCCTCTTCGCTTTTCTCCCCAAGGGTTCGGGGCCCGAAGATGCCCGGGGGTGCGCGCGGTCCCCGGGGAAGGTTCGTCCGCTCAGCCTCAGGAGTACGGGCACTGAGATCATGGCCTCTGCCACCAACTTCCAGATCCGTCAGGTGGCCCAAGGGCGCACCCACGGGACTCAACAAGGTTTCATCCCAGGACGTAATTTCTTGTCCAACATCATCTCGTTGGGCACCGAGGCTCGCAAGGCCAGCGTCACCCCTGATGCAGAGGAGGACCTCCCGATCTTCGCTGCCTACGATGTGGAGGCGGCGTTCCCGTCTCTGTTCGAGATTCTGAGTAGGATGTGGCCCCCGCCAGGTTTCCTGAACTTTATCCACGCGCTTTTTTACCCAAAGGTTTTGCTAATGCTCAAAGCCGAATCGTTTTCCTGTTTCATCTCTGCTCGGGGTCCTGCAGGGGTGCCCTTTATCTGGCTCTCTTTGGGCTCTTGCAGTGGGTCCCATCCTTCGACGTTTGCGCGCAGCCACAGCTCCCGCAGGCGAGGCGCCACAAGGGTTCCCTCGGGGGTTGTGCTGATGATGTCGGAATGGTGATGCCTCGCCTTCGAGACCTGGTTAGTGTTTCCCGTGTTTTCCTGGACGTGGAGCGCTTTGCCTTTCTCAGACTCCAAGGGGCCAAATGCGTCCTGGTCCCGACCGAGTGCACGGACGTCGTCCAGGACAGGGCCCGAAGCGAGTTTCGTAGGTGGATCCCACATTGGGCCAACTTTAGATCGCTGGCCATACGGTCTACCTCGGAGTCGAAATGGACCCCGCAGCCGCACTTAGCATGATTTGGGCTACCGCGGCAGAGAAGTGGTCGTCGAGGACGATGGTTCTGCCATATTCTGGAGCTGGCCCGTCCGTTCTTTCAATTCTGTATAACGCCGCCGCCCTCTCAACCCTCTCGTATCTCGCCCAACTGTTTCCTATCCCTGCTATGGTTCGCGAGCTCGAACATCAGGATTTGCGCGAGCTGCTCAGGCTGCCGCCGAACAGCCTCAGTCTTGCTGGTCTGAGCGCCCTGCCATCTGTGCTCGCCATTGCCCCGTCCCCTGTCTCATTGCTTGGATGGGCTAGCAGCTGGCGCACCTCATTTCGTACTTCGAAGCATACCTGGCAGCGTGCATTGCACGGCTTGACAGAATATGCTCAATACAATGCTACGGTAGTTCGCTTCACTGCAGGGAAATGCTCAGCGCCCTGCTGGGCGCGCCCTTTTTTCATCGCGCAATCCATGGAGCGGGCAAGGCCTCCGCCCCCCCCTCTTCCTTGATAAACACGGGTGGCACACAGCGTTTCGTGCGGCGCGTGAGCGCGCCAGGCTAACTCTGCTGGAAGCTCGCCGCCCACGCCCACAGCGCATCTTTGCGGGCGCGCTTCGAGCAGCCGCTTTTCCTGACTCATTCCCTGCGACGCCGGGTAAAACGCTTCTCGCGTGGCAGCTCCCGGCTCCTAGGGGGCGGAGGTCGGTGGTCGGGCGGCGGTGGGATCTCTGTCGGACCTGCTTCGCGAGTCTCAAGCCTGCATGGCAATGGAGTGTTGTCGAGGCCCTTCTGCGGAGCGTGGACGACCACGCGCAGACTGCACATGGGCATCCCTCCCACGAGCTGCATCTGGGGCTGCGCAGAGCCCGACGAGATTGCACGCTACCTGCGTTGCCCGAGAATGTATCACCATTTAGCAATGCACCCTGCCTGGAGAAGACGCCATCTTTTAGGCTCACCGATTATACGGTTGGGTTTTTGGGCGGCGTCTGAGTGCGGGCGGGCGGGGTCGGAACTCTCACGCGAGAATGCCTTAAGGCGGTTGCATTGGCATTCCATGTGCCACAAGGCGAAGCATTTTGCTCAGAAGACTCCAATGTCTCTTGAGCGCGCATGCGACATTCGAGGTGCTGCAGAGCTGGCACTCGAGCGGTGAGACGCTCTCATCGTCACCGTGCTCTGTCTTCCTCTCTATTCAGTGCGTGGTGGGTTGGCCAGGATGCGGGACTTGGGATGGGGGGGGGGTCGTTCGAGGCTCCAGAGGCGTCGGCACATTGCGGTCGATGACTCTCTCGCAGTGCCCTGTGCCTCTCGGCTCTCTCTTGAACGGGGCGGGTGCCCGTCGTCCAGTGACTGGCTCTCTCCTTCCACCCTCTTTCTGCCCTCGCTTGCGAGGCGATCCTTTCACGTCTGGTCTGCTTCGAGCGCCATCTGTTGTGGGCCCTGCTGGTGGCGGAAGTGGCAATGGGTTGCGACGCCCTTCGGGAGGCCGAA